AATATAAAATTAATAAAATAAACACTATTTTATATAATTAGAATAGAGAATATTATAAATTATTATTCGTTTGCGATCTTTCACTTAAAAATTTTTAATTATCTAATTTAGATTTCTTTCGATATTTAATCCCATGTTATCAAATATTCACCATTAAGACTTGCAGTACCATATATTAATCCATCCCAGGATTTTAAAAATTTAAAATCAATGACCTGTTCTAAGTTACAATAAAAATCGCTTGAATTATTAAATGTGAATTTAATTATATTTACATTTAATCCATTTTTTGAAATCAAAATTTATTTTTCTTGTAGATAAATTAATGGAAATAGACCATTACAATTTTTCTCGCCTCCCTAAACTTATATATCTTTATATTTCTAGAATAATCCTGTATTTAAATTTAAAGTAAACAAACACAGATAGTTATTTCTAGGTTAAAAGGCAAATAATTCATTATTTATATAGGATATTCGATATCCAAATTCTTTGACTTTTATACTTTACTTAATCTACCATTAATTTTCAAGCTCCTCTAATATTAATATTAAATAGTCAGCTCCACATGTTATTAGTTTATTGCCCTCTTTATTTATTGATAAACCTTCAATCTATTTTTTATGTTCTGTAATAGTTTACTAGCAAATCCAAGAATATTTAAAGGATGTATTGCTTAGATTATGTTAAGAAATAAGAAGATTGCTACCAAAATTTTATTTTCTTATCATATGATCCACTAATTATCAAATTTTAATTTTTTGGATGTATTACCAAACATGTTATCCAATCCTAGTGACCCCTTAATTTAGTCAAATTTTTAGGGTTAGCAATCATATTAAAGGACCATATTATGATTGACGAATCATTTGAACCAGAAATAAAGTGAGATCTATTTTGAAAGGTATTTAGTGTAACTACCTACTTTTAATGCTTTAAAATTATGTTTAATAATTTCAATCCATTTTTGAATTGTAATACTTTTATGTTATTTTATTACCCAGCCACTAAAATATTATTAGTTTTATTTATTGCTAAAGCAAAGCAATCTAATAGTACCGAATATTTTAGAGTAATTCATAAGAAAAAGTGTTGGAACATAATGATGTTTCTTATTGAAAATCCATTTTATCAAATGTTTTTATTTTATTGGAAATAAGAAAAAAAATAACTTAAATATTTATTTAATTGCTAATTTCTAGTTAATTTCTTGAAAAGATTTATTTAAATAATAATCAAGATAATATTGGTTGAATTTGCTTGCGATAATTATTATGTTTTCCTTCAAAAATATACAACATATTTTTCAAATTACTGAATATTTTAATCTTAATTCTTTAGATTTATTTATGAAGAATAAAAATATATATTAAATAGAAGACATGATACTTTTATAAAATTTAGCTAATAACGAATTGCTTTGTAAATAAAAAATTTAAGGTTATATTAATCCAGTCGTCTCTCTTTATTGACTAATACTAAATTACTATTGGAATTATTAGTATGATGTGTGGTCTATTATAATTCTATAAGGGGGAGAAAGATCATGACTGACTTCCAGATTTTATTCTTTAACCCTTCTATTCCTCCCTGCCTTCTGACTAGAATTCCATTTCTTAGCGCTATAATACTAGGCTTCATTTTCATCACAAATAAAATATTTTTAATTAATTAAACAAATCTGCTTGTATAAAAACAAAGTTAAATTTATAATTTATATAAGAATTCTCTCTTTATTAATGTTCTTAGTGTTTTCACTTTTCATAAATCTCCTAAAGTTTTCTGAGCTTAAAAGAATTTTCTTAAAAAGAATAACTAGGGAAAATTATTTCTTTGTTTCTATATATTATTAAACCTTAGAGGATTGTTGATTCATAATTATTAGAACTGATTTGAAAGAGTTAGGATTTAAATTACTTAGGAAAATTTTAAAGTAATCCAATAATCAATATTAATCTATTTATTTTTTAATTATTTATTCAAATAAAACAACTAAATATAAACTACTTTAATAGAATATTAGCTTTTAGTATTAGTTTGATTTTAAATCACAAAATTAATTCTTATGCACTACATTTTTTCACTTCTATATTTATTTTCATTTAAATTTTCGTTAATAGTGTATTTTGGCAACTTACATTGTCAAAATTTAATAATTATTTTCAACTCTTAAAGAGCTCTTGATCTAAATTATAAACAAATATTTTAAAAATTTTTTGAAAAGTCAATTTCTTAATATAAACTAATTTCATTAAATACTTCATCTATTTGATATATATTTCATAAAATTTTGTTTTTTATTGCTTCATTTAAAAGTTTTTTCATTTTTATATCATTAATATAGATCAATATATTAATTACAATGAATTAATTACTTTAGAAATATATTAATTTTAGTCATCAATTTAATTGCAATTGGTTATTTAGTATTCAGAGTTTGTAGATACTTATAATTCGTTTCCATATATGTTATAACTAAAAATAAAATTATTTATTAGAGTTGAGAAAATTGTATAATTACATGATTATTTCTTCAATTCCTTTATTTAAAAAAATTAGGAAATGATTTTATTATAATTAACAATATTAAACTTAATACCTAAATTTAATGAGGCTCCTAATATTAAGTATTTTTATCTCTCTTGAAATATGAATAAAACTAACATAAACTTATCTAATTGAATATTAAAGTAATTATAATTAAATATTCCATTTATTAAATTTTTTTAGTTCTATCAAAACGAATGATATTATATATAAATATTATTTAAGCATTTAATAGAAATACAAGTAAAAATAAAATATATGATAAAAGAACTTTAGATAAAATGTGTTATTGAAGGACATGATTTTGTTGAATTAGCTTGTTTAAATGAAAAATGTAAAGCTAATAGAGTTTATTATCATTAATGTCTTAAGAATGGAGATCATGTTGCTCATATGAAGGATTAAAAGGATTTAAAGGAATTAATTGAGTTTTTTTAAGAAGTTGAATAAGAAAATGGAAGTTTAATATCAAAATTAAGTTTGATGCTTGGAGAAATAATCAAACTATTTAATTAATTAAATTAAGGATTAGAATAAAAATATCAATTCTCTAAGGATAAGTTGTTAATGTTGAATTCAAAGTAATTGAATTAAGCTTTAGATTAAGTGATCATATATGATGAAATTAAAAAAGGCTAATTTGAAGAAAAAAAGAAATGTTCGAACGATATAATCATATCATTAAAAAAATATATTAAAGAATTGAAATTAGGAGAAGTAAATTATTTTTCATCAAAACAATAAGAATAAGGAAATGTAGAAGAATTATATTAATAGGGTAATCAGATAATTAATTTAGGATGCAAATTATATGATGATGATAAATATGAAGAAACAATTAAACTATTAGATGCAGCTTTACTGATTAATCCTAAACATTTCAGTTCGTTATATATAAAAGGTATACAAATCATACACAACTGTATTAGCTGATTCTTTAAAAATGCTTGGGAATTACAAAGATGCAATTAGATGGCAGATAAAGCTTTGTAGATAGATTCAAAACATGTCAATTCATTATCTACAAAAGGTAATTTAACTTTTTAAATATAGGTGAATCATTAAGAATGTTGGGTAAATATACCAAAGCTCGTAAAATTTGTGATCAAGCATTAAATGTTAATCCATATCATGATAAATCCTTAGGGAGTAAAGGTTCACTATATTTTAATGTATATAGGAGCCTGTTTACAAGAATTGTCAAAATATTCAGAAGCTATTATTTATTACAATAAGGCTCTTTAGATCAATCCAGATTATTTATGGCTAAAAGTAAAAAAGGTATATTATAATAATTTATTTTAATAGCTGAATGTGAAAAATAACTCAAACAAAAATAGTGAGAGACAAATGATTAATTAATTATTTATTTTATTAAAGTTCATCAAAATAGCAGAAATTTTAATAAAAAAAATATTACTAATTCTTAAAAATTTATAATAAATTATATTCTTTTTGTAAATTCTAAAGTATTTGCTTAACGCTACATTCAATAAATATTCTCAGTGATTATCACTTATGATATTAATATTAATATTAGTTAAAATTTCTTGAAGGATTTTTAAAAATTCATTATTTTATTTAAAAGGTATTTAATTTTTTCCTTATATTATTTAAAGAATAAACATTCATATAGTTTTAGAGGCAAAACGCTTGGTTCAATTATCAAGAAAGTTTTATTGTAATTAGAATAGAGATTGAATTTGGCTTAATAGAATACCAAAAATATATCCACCAAAAGAATGCATTCTAATTCTTAATTTAAAATTATTCAAAGAGATATGAGGATAATTATAAAGCATAGAGTTAACAAAATAAATTTATGAATTATATCATCTCTAAATACTAACTTAGTTATTCAAAAATGATTGAAGCTATGCTATCTATTATAACTGTCATTATCAATATAAATTCTACCAAGATTTTCCAGGAGTTTGTATGTATAAATGGTTACTAAAATTTCTTTTTTTTTCTTTAATTATATGCTTTTGAATAAATTAATAAATCATAATGACTTCAATTTTGGTAGTTAATTTTGAATACATAAAATAAATTGACCAAAGTCTGTGTTGATATTTACTTGGCAATATGAATTTTTCGATTTCCATTTAACTACTTTGATGTTCTTAAAAACAAGATTATTATTTTTCTTTTCTCGTAATCATAATTTTAGATTACAATTTCGGATCCTACTTTACTTAACTCAATTTTCTTCAAATTCAAGAAAAACATAGTAAAAGACGAAGTATCAAATCAAGTTAACTCAATTTTATTATATTCATGAATTGATGAAATAAATCAATTAATTAGATGCTTTGCCCTATCATCAAATTGAAGATTATTTAATCATTTAAATTGATATTTAAAATATTTAATTAANGGCTAAAAGTAAAAAAGGTATATTATAATAATTTATTTTAATAGCTGAATGTGAAAAATAACTCAAACAAAAATAGTGAGAGACAAATGATTAATTAATTATTTATTTTATTAAAGTTCATCAAAATAGCAGAAATTTTAATAAAAAAAATATTACTAATTCTTAAAAATTTATAATAAATTATATTCTTTTTGTAAATTCTAAAGTATTTGCTTAACGCTACATTCAATAAATATTCTCAGTGATTATCACTTATGATATTAATATTAATATTAGTTAAAATTTCTTGAAGGATTTTTAAAAATTCATTATTTTATTTAAAAGGTATTTAATTTTTTCCTTATATTATTTAAAGAATAAACATTCATATAGTTTTAGAGGCAAAACGCTTGGTTCAATTATCAAGAAAGTTTTATTGTAATTAGAATAGAGATTGAATTTGGCTTAATAGAATACCAAAAATATATCCACCAAAAGAATGCATTCTAATTCTTAATTTAAAATTATTCAAAGAGATATGAGGATAATTATAAAGCATAGAGTTAACAAAATAAATTTATGAATTATATCATCTCTAAATACTAACTTAGTTATTCAAAAATGATTGAAGCTATGCTATCTATTATAACTGTCATTATCAATATAAATTCTACCAAGATTTTCCAGGAGTTTGTATGTATAAATGGTTACTAAAATTTCTTTTTTTTTCTTTAATTATATGCTTTTGAATAAATTAATAAATCATAATGACTTCAATTTTGGTAGTTAATTTTGAATACATAAAATAAATTGACCAAAGTCTGTGTTGATATTTACTTGGCAATATGAATTTTTCGATTTCCATTTAACTACTTTGATGTTCTTAAAAACAAGATTATTATTTTTCTTTTCTCGTAATCATAATTTTAGATTACAATTTCGGATCCTACTTTACTTAACTCAATTTTCTTCAAATTCAAGAAAAACATAGTAAAAGACGAAGTATCAAATCAAGTTAACTCAATTTTATTATATTCATGAATTGATGAAATAAATCAATTAATTAGATGCTTTGCCCTATCATCAAATTGAAGATTATTTAATCATTTAAATTGATATTTAAAATATTTAATTAATATGATGATAAATAATAATACTAATTAATCAAAAGAATCTGTTCTTCTAAAAATAAAGAGATCGAGGAAAAAAAATTTGGAAGTGGGAAAGAGAAAGACATACAGAATTATTGAAATTTACGAAAATATATTTAAATTGTTAAGAGGTCTTAATATTATATGATACTTCTGGATTTAATAAACTAAGATAGTTTAAAAATTTTCATCTGAAAATAATTATTTTTTTCAAATTATTATTTGCTCAGTATTATACCTCCTTTTATGAAATATTTACTTAGATCTTGAATTTATTAAAAACTTATTAATGTTGATATACATTTTAGGCTTGAAAATATAAGATTTTGTTTAAAGAAATAATTTAAAAAATAATTTAATATTTTTATCAATAAATTATATATTTGACAAATGAAGTTTGCCTAAATTTAAGACAGGTATATCATTTAAAACTATAAGAATTCCTTTAAATTACAAATAAATTATCATAGAATTAATATTAAATTCTATAATTTTACCAGAGTTATTTTTAAAAACATTTATTTTTGTAATCCAGATTTAACGGTGCAACTTGGATAAAGTTGTAAATTATATAAATTCTAGTTCAACCTTAATAAGATCATAACAATTATAATTTTGAAAAAAGAGATTTTAACATTAAATAGTATTTAGGAATGAAAGACATTCATTGTAACTCATAAATTAAAAAAAATCTAATATAGAATTCATTTAATCATATATCAAATTTTTGCCTGTGTTATGACTATTTCGTTTATAGAAAACAGTCAACTGGATGTTTTAAATCTGATATAAAATCCTATTATCTACAAAATAAAGATATTCATTTTTAATTTGTTCTCATAATTATTTACAATAAATGGGATTTCCTTTTAATAATAAAAATATTATAAAAAAATTTGAAATATAAAAATAGTAATAATGTGGTGAAATGAATTTTGAGAATCCTATAAGCACAACTTAATAAATTGAATATATGTTAAATTGTAATTCGTAATGGAAATGCATTTCAATCATATGAAATATTTTATTTATTTAGCATACTAAATTTCCTTAGGTTTTATTTAGAATTTGATACAGTATGATTAGATTTGGAATGGAGAATTCAAAGTATGAATTATTCTGTTTAAGCAGCATAACTCTAAAAAAGATTCTGATTGGTTTATTAAGGTTGTCCCTATTTTTTTATTCTTTAAATTATAAAGCTGAGTAATTAAATTTATGAAACTCTGCATTTCCAAGATTCCAAATATTAATAATTAAAGTAAAATTAATAATTAAGTTAAATTTTCTTAGAAATTCTTATATAAGATTCTTTATATGGTCAAAAATTAACTTAGCAGTTTAAATGTCTAAAGTGAGAATGAATCATTTAATTTAATTATATAAGAATTTGTAAAACAGATCTATACAAAAACAATATTATCAAAAATTTTACAAAAATGTAAGAGATATTTTCAAGATTTTCTAAAAGATTATTGAATATTTATTTTATTACATCTTTTTTAATTTAAATAAAGTATATATACTATCTTGGATCAAAGGTAATTTGACTTCAACAAAAAATTTATTTAGTTTCATTTATCTCATTATATCTAATTCTATTCTATTTTCTATTAAGTGATAATTGCAATCAATATCTCATCTATTTGAGTAGATTTGACTTTAATTTCTATAGCTTTGAATAAAAATATTCACCTAAATTGATATTATCAAAGTGTTCATTAAATTATAAATGTAAAATTGTGATTAAATTAATAAAGTGCCTAAATTAATGTCTCACATGTTAATCAAATAACAATTTATAAAGTAAACATGCTCATAATTTAATGAAAATTGCATTATTCGTTCCTTTTAAAATACTTCCAAAAGATTAAGCATCTCTCAAAATCTTATATGCAAAGAAAGATGCTTTGTTATTATGATGTAATATAATGCTAAAAATGGTGTTATGGCAATCAAAGAGATACACTCCTATATTTAAACTTACCTTGAATTTTTTTAATTAAAGATTCGTGTTGGTTATTGTAAAGCATGAGATTTAGATAATTGTTTAAATTACAATGAAAAATAGGATCTTGTATCATTAAATGCCTGGTTATCAATCACAAAATTAGTTTATTCATAGTATTCTCTATCATATTCAAATTTTAATAATAATCTCTACAAATAACTTTTGAAATTATTTTATTGGATGCTTGATTCTCTGAAAACTTATTATATATTCCTTTAAAGTTTTACATTCCATTGAATCCATCATTCTTTACAGATTTATTTGATGATGATATTTGCTTATAAATACTAGATAATCAAATATATGAATTACTCTAAAAGAATCCTATTTATATTAATACATAATATAATACACTCATAAAAAATTAATATTCTATATCAGATGATTAGATATATTATATGATAACTATATTGGCCATCCAGAATGAGTTACAAATTCAAATGTTTTATCTTCAATTTAATTGAAAATCTCATATATCCTGTCTTTCCAAAAATAAATTATGATTTTCTTACTTACTTTATTAATCCTTGTAAAGTAATATTATATCTTTGAAATCAAAACTGCTTCATTAGAATAATATGGAAATACTCTTCTAAATTGATTAATTAAAAATGGCAAGTTTATAAATGATAAAATAACTTATTCCATTAAATACACTATCACATTATTCCTATTTTGAATATAGAATTTATCCAATCTCCCACTATCTAATGTATTTAGAAACCTTCTTATTATGCTTTCAATAGTATTGTAATACAACTTGAAATTAAAAAGAAGGATTGATTGTTCTGAATTCAGAATTGTAGATAAAAATTTACATATCCTTTATCAAGTAAGGATTTAGATTAATATTATCATTAATTAAATGAAGATTTTTGTCAATTTAAATTAATATTGAACGTTTTTATTAACTATTTGAATTCACTACCCAGTTGATTTCAAAATAAAAAAATTAACCATATGCTGGGTAGGACTTAACGATTTTATTATTTTGTTAAAAAGTTTAGTAAAATAATTAATAGAAACATGAATTTAAGCAGTAATATCCAATATTCATTTAATTTAAATCAAATATATATTACTTCGAATTTGATGCTGAAAATGGAGTGGATAATTCAAACTTAAATATATATAAATAACTATTTTAGACATTTTCATTGGTTTTTTCTTATACTTATTTTTTGAAAACTCAATTAAAAATAAATAAGCATCAGCGTTTATATAATTAACTAGTCAACGCCTAATCCAAGAAATTAGTTTGTAGACAAATAATCTTTTAAAAATGGTTTTCATTTTTCATATTGTTATATTAATGAATCATTATCCTTATTAGAAGTAGAAAGTCTAATTCATAAAAATTTTTTCAATTTTTTATTCTAAAAATATCATATTTAAATTACAAATGTTTCCAATCTTTCTGATCGACTTCTTAACCTCATTATTTATTAGAAAGGTTCTAAAGAGATATTATTAGATTTATAATAAAAATATTATCAAGAATAATTGATATTAAATGATTAATCGAACATCCACATTTATCTTTTTTTGGCATTAAAATTGGGTTAGCCCTTACATTTTTATACAATAATGTAGCTATTTTTTTAAATATAACAGACTCTTTAATTATAGTATTATTTTCATCAAAATAATTGAAAAAATAATTCATTATTATCTTTACTAATATGCATATTTAAATTTTCTAAAGCATATATGATTTTAACAAATAATTTTCTTGTTAATTTTCTATTCATTTTTATTTTAAAAAATTGATATTATTGAATAATATTTTACAAAATATATATAAAAATAATGTTTGTAAAAATATTGCTTTTCTCAACCATTCTAACATTTTTAGAAGCTATACCCTGTTTAGAAATCTATAAGGATAAAGATGAATTTTTCAAGTCAATTTATAAAGAGCCACTACTCATTAATACTAATTAAGCTGATTTTGAAAATATTCAAAGTATAGGATAAGAAATTCTTTAATTAGATTATTCATTTTATTATTAAATTGATGGAATTTTTATTTCTGCTACTTTATTAAAATCATTTTAGAATTGGGATATATAACAAATATGCTACCTTATGATTAATGAAAACACTTATTTTATATAATGTATAATTGGATTTACTTTTACTTAAGAGAAAATGAATTTTGAGTACTCTAATAAAACTTTAATTATAACTTAATATTATGATAAATGTGAATCAATATTTTATGATACAGACACTAATATTTCTATATTTTGCTATTCAGAAGATTATTTTAAATTAATTTCTACAAATTTAGATGATAAAAATTCATTATATATATAGTATAATTATACTTAAACCCATAGTTTTAAGTATTGTAAGCTAATCTCTATTTAAATTAGACCTTACCTTTATTTAATAGGTTCTATTAATTGCTCGGATTGGGGTATTTTTAAGGCTTAGGATAACAACATCACTCTTTTTTTAGATAAAGATATTTTAAGAAGAATGTAATTATCATTTGATCTAATTAATTTAGTCAATATTCAAGTATGTTAAATATCGCAAACTTAACAGTATTTCTTTTATTTATTATTAGATTAAGGGTACATTTAGATGGAAAATTTTTAGATATTAGAGATCATCTTATTAAATTAGTAAGACAAAGTAAAAATTACTCAATTTGTATTTGATAAATCATGCCAAATACGTATTTTTGTAGGGGAGGAAGAATTATTGATACCTTTCTAATATTATTAATAATACTAAATTCTATCATTTAGTAAATCCAAATATCCTCTTTTTTATATTAACATGAATAATTTAAAATATTTTAATATGAAAAAAGTCTATAATTATTCATAAATTAGATTTTCATTTAATATTATGATATTTCAGGTTTACTTTTATTTTATAGAACTTTTAATTATCTGTTTGTAATAGATTAAAGTCTCAATTTAATTAAGCTATTTAAAATTAAGCATTTATCAAATTACATAGTACCATAATATGAATATATTTATGAATTATCTTTGCATGATTTTAGTTGTTGTAAAGTAGAAGCTGTTAAATGTAGTAAAATAACACTAATAAATTCAACTAATCGATTTGTTGATTATTAATTTTTTTTGAAGGGATAATACTATATTCACAATTCCTAAGAAATTCAACTGTTTATTAATTATAAAGAATTCATGGTAGGAATACCATTACATTTTGAGATACCTTCATAATTCTCAGATATTTTAAGTATTGATTAAAACAAATAAAATTTCTCTGATATTTGTTAATTATATAGAGTCTTTTAGAATTTAACTCTTCTGCTTTATGATTCTTCTGCTAAATTATTTGTATTTTCAGATGAAAAATTCATTTATTTCTATAATTGCAATTAATAAAAAATGCTTCATCAATTTAAAAAGTAAGGTAAATCTGTATTTAATATAAAAAATAAAATTATTGTTTTAGACAAAATATATAATCTATTAAATATTATTACTGCCACCAAAAATTAATTAATATAACATAATTTAAAAATTGATTCAAATGTTACAAAGGTTTTTTAAATCTAAAATTCTATGATTATAAGTTTCAAAAATAAAGAACCACTAATAATTGATTTTTCTTCAAGCGATCTAACAATATAAAATGCTGAAATAAAAATTATGGAAACCTTATAATTTTATTTTAAGTTTTAAAATTCTTACCAGATCTAATAAGTTTAGGACTATCTTTGGATTATTAAGAATAAGGATATCTTAAAAATGAGGTTTCTTGAGTGTTAAATACTTGCAATGAATTAAGTTTTTTTTTTATCGTATTACATAAAGTGGAATACTAATTAAAAGTCTGTTTTTTTAATATGAACGAGTTACTATTTATCTAAAATATTAATCTGTTTGATTATTCTATTTATAAACCATTAACATATGCCATCTCAAACTATGACTTTTTTATTATAGCTGAAAAATCTAATTAATTATATCTTCTAATATATTAATTTACTTAAAGTAACTAATATATCATAAAACTAATTATTAAAGTAGCTTAACCAAACTTTTATGCAAACAATAAAAAGGTATATTATTATGATGAAAACAATCTGCTTGTATTTTAGGATTAATAATAAATATCTCTTACTTATAAAATTGAAGATTTCAGTAAGCTTTTCTAAATAGTTGATCTTCATTTAAATCTAATTTCTCTAATTGATATAAAGCAATAAAATAAATTTAATCTTAAATTGAAGATTATAAATACAAATAAGGAAATATTTCCTAAATCCAATCTAATTATCCATCCAAGTTAAAACCTCATAATTAAAATTGAAGTGTTTAATCATTTTTCAGGACCAATCGAAATAATTTCTTTAAATGATGAATGCCCTTTTAATCTAAATGGTCCATTTCAAATTAGAAAGGGCATTAATTTATGCAATCAAAATACGACTTAAAATTGTCTATTATAATAATAATTTGAAAGATTTGAAAAATGTTAATGTTTATTTCTTAAAATTATGGAGAATTAAGATTTAATAAATAAACCAAAATTAATTGTTTTATCATTTGATTAGTAACATTGGTTCTAATTAAGAAATGGAGACATTATATTTATCAATGTTGAAAATGGGGTAAGTAGATAAGCAATAAGTTATAAATTTGATGTTGTTTAAGATAGATTTGTTTAATTTAAAGAATTTGATCTTCCATTTCAAAATGAGGAAACTAATTAAATAAGGATTATTGGCAATTTAATTTATTTTAGATAGGTTATTTATTTTATTTATTTTAATTGAAAGGGGTATTTATTAATAAAATTTATGAATCTACAATTTAGTTTGAAATAATCTATTTATAGAATTCTGATGATGAATATATTGTAATTAATTAAGAAAAAAATATTTTAATTACCCATTATGATTTCTCAGATGGTAGAGTAAATCCAATATAAACTTATAATTTAGATAAAATTAAAATTTTATAATTAGTGGAAATTTAGATTGACTTTTTACTAAATTCATAATTGATAGATTCAACACTATTAATTCTAATTGAAGCAATAAAAGTAGAAAAATCAATACAAATAAATAGTATTTTAAATTACTAGGATCTAACATTTTATATAAACTTTAGTTTAAATACTTAGAATAAAAATGTAGAATCAATTATTATAAAAATTTTAAGAAAAATGGAAACTTTAGATAATATAATTTTGATTAATAAGTAATTAGCCATATTTGGTACTTAAGAAGAAAAATTTTATCTTTATGATTTTAGATAAGAGAATTAAATTTATGATTCAATCAATATAATAAATTTTAGTAAATTGCATTTATAAGTTTATAATAATATAATATGATAATTTTAATTTAAAATATACATATTATATTTTATTTAATATGTAAAATAAAGAAACCTCTTTAGTAGAAATTGGATTTGAAATCAATATTACTAATAAATTGGAATTTACTCAGTGTTTATTGAAAGCTGAAAATTGGATATCAAAAGCTGAAGTAAAGGTATAGGACTTATTATAGAATATAATTTTAATCATTTAATAAGAAGAATATTATAATATTTAAAATAAAGAAAATATAATAATTATATCTATAAGTTTAATATTCATATTAATAGTTTGCCTTATTTTTATTTTAAGAAGATAATAATTAAAATAATTTTAGTCAATATCATTAGATTAATCAAAAATAGAATGATTATTAAAATAAATAAGTTTATAATATTGTAATATATATTCTTAATAAATTTTTGAATCTCATTTTCTTAAATCAATTTTCTACTTACTTTTATTTATACATTATCATATTAATTAACTTTTACAATAAATGAAATATGAATTCATTAAAAAATCAGGATTTGAATTGTCATACATTATGAATTTAAATATTATTTATCAGATAAAGAGAGTTAAAATCCCTTTTTATTGACTCATATATAAATAATTATTGTTAATAATTATTTATTAAAATTATATATTAAATAATTTGATATTTTAAAGAGTTGTTTAATTTTATGAATTTAATACCTGAAACTCAATGAACAATTTTATGAAATTGAAGTGTAAATAATTTTTAAATCGGGCAAGACTACTCGGAGATAAAGATTAATTTCAATTCTTAGATTTTATATAATATTCTCATTTTAATTTGTTTGTTTTTTGCTATATTTATAATAATCATAAAGTTTAAAATAAAAAAATTAAATAAAAGTAAGTAATTGTGTCAAATTATGTTGCTTTTAAATGTTAGAAAGTAAATGGAAGATATTTATTTTGTTTAATACTCTAATTAAATGATAAAAAAGAAAAGTGTATTTTAATAAATAATTTTAACAATAATCAACATTTTTCTTTAATTGGTTATTATAGAATTTTTAGATACAAATCTTAAAGTATTATTTTTTAACCATTTTGTTTAGTAAAGTATTTTTACCTTTATATAAAACAATTATTTTGTTTAATAGAATTCCAATTTATTTATATAAGGGTGTATTTGAATATATATTATAGATTAAATATTAAAATATGATTTAGTAATGTAATTTAAAGATAAAATGTTAAAAAGATGATCATTAAGATGAGATAGTCACCGTTTGTTACAATTAATTTTGTTAAGAATTCAGATTAAATTGTTTTAAATGTATGAAGAAGGGAAGAATCCATAATGATCATTTTGATGATGTTGAAAAAATCAACAGCTTGATTCAATTTATTGATTAGAAAAATTAAGAATGTGATAAATTAATTGATGATCTTAATAAATTAATAGAAGTTATGAATCAATCATTTTCTTAATTAAAAGAGGAATCATATAAAAATATTAATTATATAAGCAAAGATTAATATTATTGAATTCTTAATAAATAAATGATTACTTGAATTCAACAATCTAATTTAAAGAATATTAATAATCAATTACAAAAATCATTTCAGAATAGACTAATAAATTAAATCATTCATTTAATAACTTATATCAATAATTAAAATTATCTTAATTTAATTATTGTTAGATTGATTATAATTCTATATAATTATCTAATCAATTATTTAATGAAGGTATTCATCTTATTATAATTATTAGGTTATAATTTATATTGGGAAGATAAATATCTTGAAGCCATAGAATTACTAGATCAATCTATATAATAAGATCCAAATAATCATCAATCATTATGGTGTAAAGGTTAAGTAATAAATAATCAATAGGTGATTGCTTAAGAGGATTAACCAAATTTGAGGATGCAATCACTTGGTATGACAAAGCATTAATTATTGATACGAAGCATATTAATTCTTTTGGTGGAAAAGGTAGATTGAATCATAATTTAATTAATAGGTGATTGCTTAAGATAATTGAGAAAATATGATGAATCTTTAAAAATATTAGATTAAGCACTTACCATTAATCCACAACATAAATTGTCTCTTCAATCTAAAGGTATATTATAATCATCATTTATAGGTTTATGGTTAGAAGATCAATAAAATTATAAAGAAGCTTTAATTTATTACGAGAAATCATTAAAGATAAATCCAAATGATCAATAGACAATAAACTAAAAGAGTATTGTTAACATATTATATTAGAAATTTGTGAGAATAAATTGAAGCAATGAGTATTCAATATTAAAAAATAATTATATTATTATTTCTTTATCAAATTATTTTATTAAATCTTCTCAAATTTACCTTTTAGGCCTCAATAAATTTTTGAGGATTAGATGGCTAAACTTAAATTTTTGTTTATTTAATTCCGAAATTTCCAATAATATACCCATCATTTATTAAGCGAAAAATTGAGATTTAATCTTTTCAATTATATCACATATAACATAGATGTATTTATATAAGTTATGTAAAGAATTTTTTCGTCTAAATTAATTGTTTACTTTTTTTTATAATTGTGTTATTTTATTAATCCTTCACTAATATTAATTAGATTGTGATTTTGTTTAATTAGACAATAATTATTTGATCTAAAAACTAGAATGAATGAAGACTTTACAAATAACCCTGAGTTTGAAACATTCGTAATTGTTAGAACACAATGTAAATTATTTCTTGGAAAATAAACAAAAATTTCGAGCTGAGTATTTGTTGAAGGTTGATCATTTAGTAAATAAATATATAAATTAAAAAAATTTTTAATATTTTGATCCCTAAAAATGACGATTAATATTTTATATTACTTGTCTATTTTATAATAAATTTTGATTTCAATTTAAGTTTCTTTACAAGATTTAAAAAAAATCAAGATTCTTATGTTTGAAGGAGAATTTATTTGCAAAATGTTCGGCGATTGTCAGGTCTACAATTAAATCATTATGAATTCAATTTTTGCAAATTAAAATAAGTTTATTTTATTAATTAATTCTGATTAAATTTGCAGAACTTAAATCTAGAATGGCTCTCCGAATGAGAATAAAATTGTTTTAAATTCAAACTAATTGCAATAGCATTTGAATAAGAAATAGAATTAGTTATTTTATTTATTCGTTAAGGTATAAGAATTATCATAAGCCAAATGATAGGTATACATATCATTATTACAAAAGTTAGATATTGATATAATTAAATGATTTAATTTATTAAATTAAAGTCTCATAATCCTTATTAATCTTATAAAGGACTTTAAGAGACTAATTATAATTCTTGTTCAGATAAATTTAATATATAGAAAAAAAACAACTCTTATTTCAGATTGTTTTTATGATAAATTTAGAAGTTTGTCAAAATCCAGTTCATGGTAAAATTTATGCATCTGAAGTGAAAATTTTTATTTTTAAGCTTAAATGTTTACAAGACTATTTATCTTGTTTCTAAGTGATTTAATAATTTAGTTGAGATGAATATATGTGAAAAAATATTAGAATTAAAATGCAGTTAAAAAATATGACAAATATTAGTGTTTAAGAGAATTAAAGAATATTTAATTAGATTCTCAAACAAGAATATAATAACAATAGATAATTCTGAAAGTAGCAAACCTAATTGGAAATATAATTGATCTTAAAATGTAGAGTTTGATTATTAAAATTTTAAAGCGGGTGTGATTTACTTCTAGATTCAGATAATTTTTCAATCATAAAATTTAGGAGTCAATAAATTACGTTCTTGTAAATGATATTAATAATATTAAACTAAATTCATATAATAACATAACCTATATAGTTATTATTTTTTAGAGTTTAGAGAGACTTTTAAGGAATGATATAAGATTGGGACACTCATATACATAAAAAGAAGATTGATATTGCAAAAAAGGTTTTAATGAATAAAAATTTGAGTATGGTTTTTATTTATTTAAAAAAATCAAGTAAAATAAAAAAACCAGAAATTGTTAGAATTCTATTATCTCGAAAAGTCAAAAAAGTAGTTATTCTTGTGAGTAACAATATATATAATTTTGTTTCTGACTTTTTAGGTTGAAAATTATTAAGTACATTTTATGTAATGTTAAGAAAATTAGATTTGATGTTGAATTGTTGGAATTAAGTTTTTAGTAATTATAAAAAAATTTCTTGTTTATTATTTGAAAATATCTCAATAACTCAAATGCTAATATTATAATTGCAAGAATTAAAATAAACAGAGAGATACAACTAAAAATAGTCGATTGATAAAAAGAAAAAGATATAGGAGAAATGTAATTGCATTCATTATTTTAATAATTTGATTATGCATAGGGCTTATGGAAATAAAGGTTTTTTTATCAACTATTGATTGTTCGAATTATTTTAGTATCCACAAAAAATAAATGTTTGTAAAAATTGTTATCGAAATGGATCAGCTTTTTTTTGATTATTTATAGCTTTAAAAACATTAATAATAATTTAAGTTATCTCATTTTTTTGGTCAAAATTGAAAGATCATATGAACTGTTCGTATGTTCTAATCTAGAATAAGTAATAAAAAGAATCAAGATATAATTATAAAGAAATATGTAACTAATTTGCCAAAAATTAAATAAAATTATAGAGTAATTGTGATTGGATTAGTGATTCTAGTTTAAATGGTCGAAACCACTCATTGAAATTATCTTAGCTAAATCAAAGTATTTAGTATAAAATATAATGCTTTTTAGTATTGAATAGGGGATTGACGAAAGTGCTTAGAAAAACCAAGAAATAAACTTTTGTTTAAAAAATGAAAATGATTATGTTAATAAAGATTTTGTAATTTTTGCTGTTTTTTAATATCTAATGATGCTAAAGAACATTTGATTATCAAGAGTTGTATTAGCTCATGAATGATTGAAAGTTATGAAAAATTCAAAGGTTACAAAGAATATATAGTCGAAAAATTTTATACATCATAATGTTAATCCTCTAAGCTTATTGTTGTCTATTGTAGAAAAAGTTTACATGGATTATAAATTCTAGTGATGAAACTTAGTTGAATTTATCTTCTGTTTTTCTTAATTAGAAATAATGATTATTTTAAGTATTTTAATAAAGAAGAGAGAATATCAATAAGGCAAAGTTTAAACTTTTTATAAATCACTATTTAATTAGAATATAGATGAGGATTATCTGGTTAAGTGGAAATTTCTTTAGAGTCAGAAATTGTTTATTATCCCATGCTAATTAAAAGTTCAATATAATTTTTTTTGAGCATGAAACAAAGAATAGAAGAATAGTAGGTATAAATATTTAAACATAAGTATAACAAAGATGCAAATAGAACTATGAGTAATTTGCTTGGTTGTTTATTTATGAACTCAAACAGTGTAGATTGATTTAAAATGAATAATTAATCAATGAAAATGCAATTGATTTAAATAATTTCAAAATGATAAAGGAGTGTTTGACCCTTTTGCCATAGGAATTTTAAATGGAATTAATAACACACCAACTATTCATGAGATCAAGTGGGAATGCTAAAAGGGTAAAAACTCCCTTTCCTATAAATAATCCAATAATTGCTTTTAGTATTATTTTCTATCTCTCTATTTGTCTTAAATAATTTTCTAAATTTTAAATAATATCACCTTACTCTAATAAGAATAGCAAACAACCTTCATTGTTAGTATTTTTACACATTAAAATGTAATTTAATACTATTGATCGATCCGATTCAACAAACCATGTGCTAAACAAATCCTTATAGTGATTATATGTAAATCAACATTTATTTTTC